CTGGGTTAAAAAGGCAGCTCACTGGGGGCGGAGTCCTTTCACCAAGTTGCAGAAGTCACAGCTGGCTTCCTTGCCCTCCTGGAGAGGAGGCAATCAACAGTCAACAGAAGAATGTGGGGGACTAGGAGGGGTGGTAAGTCCCTGTCCTCCGCCTTTCTGGTTCTCCAGCCACTCGCGTTGGTTTTATTGTCTGTCTTGAGACTTTTTTCCCCCAGAGTTTCCAAACCCTAAGTTGCTTGACGGGTCAGCTTTTACTGGAGAGCAGCCTTTCTCCATCAAGCTGGTGCCCTCCAGTTGTGTCCCATTCCAGTGCTAGCTGGAGAGAGAATGAGAGGTGTGGTTGGTGCATCTTCCCAGATGACTTCACTGGAACTTAGTACAGTGGTGCCTGGCTTTACGATTGCCCCACATTACGATGAATCCGCTCACGACCTGGGGTTCAAATCCCAGGTAGCCGGCTCAAGGTTGACTCAGCCTTCTATCCTTCCGAGGTCAGTAAAATGAGGACCCAGCTTGCTGGGGGGGCAATGTGTAGCCTGTATAATTAAATTGTAAACCGCCCGGAGAGTGCTTGTAGCGCTATGGGGCGGTATATAAGTCCAAAAATAAATAAATAAAATAAATAACGACGATCTTTGTATGTTTAGTTGGGCTGGATTTTGTTGACAACATGGAAGCCTTGCTGTTGGTCATAGCTTTCTTGCAATGCCTTTAGGATCCTTCAGAGTTCCCTTGCGGCGTCAAGAACCTTTCCCCCCCCACACACTCCACTGTAAGACTTATACCCTTATCTTTACTCTTACTGCTTTGCGGGGTAATGGGCAGGAGGAGTCCAAAAGAATTACTTGCATCTTGTAAAAAGATTTCTGCAAGGTAAGGGCATATCTAGAACCTGCTGTGGTGGAGAAGCTGATCCTTTAGAATGAGCAGTTGTCCTGCTGCTTACCTTGGCTTGGATCGTACCCTGAGTTGCGTTGCATTTAATCGTTCGCTTGTTTAAAGCAGTAATCCCCAAAGGGCGAAAGAGCAAGCCATCAGAAAGGAAAAAGAGATCAAGTTATGAACATAGGAAGCTGCTTTATCTGGCTGTTTATCTACCTTATCTTTTGGAGCCAGTGTGACTCAGTGAGTCCGTATGACTCAGAGTGTCTGTCCAACCACCTTTCCCCCTCACCTGCTGCTTTTCTCTTTCAATCTGAGATAGCCAGGATTGAATCTACATGCAAAGCCACTGAGCTAAGGTCTCTTCCCCTCAACATCTGGGCACCACCGTTTGGGGGTTGTATTCTACATAGAACATTTTAATATGGAATCGTACTTAAGTACGATTCCATATTAAAATGTTCTATGTAGAATCATTTTCCCTTTTACGGATTGATGAGGTGTAATCTGGGATCTTCTGCCTGCAAAGTGGGTATCCTGCAACTAATTGGTAGTCATCTCTGTAGGAATTGAATAATTGAAAAGTACCAATGAACTCAAAGCCCCCTTTCGATAGGAGAGGGATTCTTTGCCTCTGTATGCATCACAGTTCCAGCCCAGTCTACTTCCACGGAGCTGAGCTTGAATAATGCTGGGCTATCTCAGCATCCAGTAGGTTTGAATTGTCCAGTTCTTCATGGCAGAGAGCCACTGTCGAACTAAAAAGTGTCCCTCGAGGGGCACTTATCTGGGAAATACTAATTTATGGGAATACTTGGCACAACCTTGATGCAGAGGGAAGTGGAACAACGTCTACTCTCTGTGAATTTCTTGGTCTTCCTTGAGGTGGGATCCTCCACGTCTGTACTCCACCTCGGCCATTCTCTTGTTGAGAATTTTCTGAAGCAGCAGAACAGTTGTGGATTTGACCGTGAGCTTATAGCCATCCTCTAGTGTAGAAGAGGCCCCCTGATGCTCCCACTTCTTTGCTCAGTCCATGCATTAAAAAAAATAGATTTGAGTTTGTCGTCGGCATGTGATGTCGTGGTTAGAGTAATAGGCTTGGATGTGTGGCAAACAGGCGTCTGGTTTTCTGCTTGGCCTCGAAGCACATCCCACAGCCTTGATAAACCACCACCTCAAGGCGGATCTCATTTGCAGGACCTGTTATGAGCCTAAAGAAGCGATCACGGCCACTTGGGAAAAGGGCCAGCTGTGATTACAGCTGTTGGGATTTAGGCTGACATGAAGTGACTCTCTCGAGGCCTGGGTCAATTGCTTTTACGTAGTGATCCGTTTAAAAGGAGAAGGATGATGTCCCAAAGGCATAATTGATCCGTACTGGAAGTGAACTACCTTATGCAGAAGGAATCACATTGAGATCCTGGGTCTTTACCAAAAAACAAAACAAAAATGGGAGGAGAGGATTGCTAATCTCCCAGAGGCTGTGAAGGAGAAGCTTCTGCAGCTTGAAGCACTGCTCACCAACGTCTGTGAAAAAACTGCTTTCAGAAAAAAATATATCTGCAACTTATGCATGGAATGAAACCTGCATTTTCTCAGTCTGGGATTTGCTTTGTCTTTCCTGCATTTGTTTCTGAAACTTTCCGTTATGCAGCCCTTCTTTTTGCTTCTCTCTTGGCTTGCTCTCGGCTCCTCTTTCAGCCCTCCCGCCTTCCCTTCCCTAATTATTGTTTGTTTGTATATTTGTTGTTGGTGGTTGAAATGCATGCTCTAACGTCTGCTGTTAACCTACTTCTCAGCCCAGGGACGGACGCGGCCGCCCAGACGAATTTCCTTCTCCTTCAGCATCTCTCCGCTCATTCCTAAGTCTAAAACTGTCTTTTCTGTTGGCTCTTCTTCCAGTGATGATGAGGAACGCTTGGATAGTAAGTAATCTGGACAGAATTGAAGCTGGCGTTGAGTGGTGCTAGCCAGGGAAGCGTCTTTTGCTTCGTTTTCTTTCTTTCTCCAGTGACGCTGTTGAGTTGCTCAAATGTTGGCTTCGTGCCTTGTGCTTCTCCTGCCCTTTGTTGAGTTTCGCTAGCAACCGTACAACAGCATCACTCTGGCATCTTGCTTTCATTGTTGCTTACAGACATCGCTGCTTGTGAGAAAGCTTTCTCGTCCTACCTCCTGTCGGTGGAATCGTGATCCTTGTCTTGGCTTTGCCCTGTATATGGACAAGAGGGAGGGACATGCTTTGAAACAGCCGTGCGTTGAGTGCCACCATTTCAGTTTTGCTGTCACGTGTCTGCATGTAGGAAACCGCATAGTTAAGACTCACAGATGTGTATGTTTGAACCATATGTGTTTGAATCAAGAATGGTGCGTCTCATCCGTTGATTAACCTACCCAGAGGGTCATCTTACGTTAGAACACATCAACTTGATGCTTTTGAGGGGTTTTGCGCTTTGTCGTTCAGTCTTGCTTACAGGGAAGTGACAATCCGTTAATGTTGACTGTTGCAATATCCTCAGCTCGTTCCTGGAGATCCCACTTTCTCTGACGTTGGCACTTAAGGGAGCATTACTTAAATGCTGCTGAATTTTTTTAACCCAGAAAGTTAGATCTAGGCTCAGTTACATTATGAACAGGGTGATTGAAATGACCAGGACTTAAAGTAGCTGTGGCTTTCAGTGTTGGCTATTTTAACTTTAGTTGATTGAAATGACCAGGACTTAAAGTAGCTTTCAGTGTTGGCTATTTTAACTTTAGCAAATTTTGAGAAGGTGAACTCTGATTGGCACAGTATGGCTTGAATTGCAAGCTGAATAATTTAAGCAAATATGTCCCAAAAGGCCATATGTCAAATGAGAAAACATAGATATTGATATAGATATATCACATACCTGCAGCACAACTTCCAGAGCTGAAGACTTCTTTCCCCCTTGTATTGATTTGTTCCATCACTAGGTAGTTTTGAGGAACCACACGAATTCTCGACAGGGAACTTCTTACCGTGAAGTTGTGTCCCAACCTTCAGAAAATAGTCTTCTGGAAATCATAGAGTGACAGCCCTACGCGCTTGCTGCTCAGGGGTGAAATTGACAAAGAACATCTACCCTACTTCCTCTTGGAAGTTGTCCTTTTGAACTTGCAGGCTCATAACATTGTCAGCAATCTTATGAATTTTTAATCATCAGTGTTTGGTTTTCCCCAGCCATAGATGTTTGTATTGATTTCAGAATACAGTGGTGCCTCGCTAGATGATGATAATCCGTTCCACTGAAATCGCTGTTTAACAAAATCATTGTCTAGCGAAAAGCATTTCCCCATTGGAATGCATTGAAGCCTGTTTAATGCATTCCAATGGGGAAGAATCGTCGTTGTCTAGCGAAGATCGGCCATAGAAAAGCCGCTTTGCGAACCATTGATCAGCTGTTTAAATTGCTGTCTTGTGAAGTTTAGGTCCCCAAAACACCTGTTTTGCAAGCACAGAGGGAGCTGTCAAAATCGTCATCTAGCGAAAATCGGTTTGCGGAGCAGGGACCAAACATTGTCCAGCGAAATTCTACCATAGGAATCACTGTTTTGCGAATCGCTATAGTGATTGCAAAAAGCCAATGTCTAGCAAAAAAACTGTCATGCGGGGTAACTGTCTAGCGAGGCACCACTGTAAAGACAAAAAAGGGGGGGCTGTTTTGGCTCTGTAGAAACATATTTCATTTTCCCCCCTTCTTCTATACCATCGTTCCATTTTTTGATCAGCAATATATATCCATTTGTTATTCTGGTCAGCCAAGAAGTGTCTCCTGTCAGATGGAAACATGTGAACGGTTCTTTTCAACGACGGTTATGATAGAGGTAGCGGGAAAATCAGATCTAGCACGGTTGTTCATTTGCACCCATTTCTAATAAATGTTTGGTGTGGAAGGGTCAGGAAATGTGTGACCTTCCAGAAGTGTGAGCTACAATGCCCATCACCAGTGGTCTTGCTGGGTTGGGGTGGACAGGAGTTGAGTGTCCGGCAACCTCTGAAAAGCTAAAGATTTCCCACCTGCTTCTTAGTGAATGATATATGAAATTTTGCTCGCCAAGTCTTCCTGCTACAACATGTCCTTCTGGTGTTTCCCCAGGTAACCGATCCTTCAGCAGTACCAGCAGTTCGCTGACGCAGAGGTGAGCTATGCATGGATTTTTTTTCTGCATCCTCCGAAGGAAGAGATTTGTACTTTGTCATTCTCTTTGCAAGCTCTAACGTCACGGGTTCAGGAAGAATCTCATGGACTAGTTAAAGAAATGGTGCTCAATGAAAATGGAACAATTAAATAAACTGGAGGAGTAAAAATAATAAGGGCTTTTAACTGAGAAGGGATTTTATGCTATGGTCTTAATATAAACATAATACTGTAATCATGTCCCATCTTTTAACTGAGAAGGGATTTTATGCTATGGTTTTAATATAAACATAATAATCATGTCCAATCTAGTCAATTCTGACTCACAGTGACCCTTTTTGGGGTTTTCCAGGTAGAGGATATACAGAAGTGTGTTACCCTTCCCTTCCTCTAGGGGCACCCTAGGACTATGCAGCTGGCCCAAGGCCACCTAGGCTGGCTGTTTTCCCAAGAAGCACAGTTGGGGAATTGAACTCTCAGCTCTGCAGCCAGAGGCCTAAACCACTGAGCTAGCCATCCGGCTTGTGTTATGGTCTTACGAATTGTGTATTTTTAATAACTGTGTTTTAAATCTTGTGGACTCACTTTTGTTTTGTGGTTTGGATGTGTTACAACGTTGCGTGACATTGTGTGTTGAGTCCCATGAGAAAAGGGGCTAGAAATCAACTCAGCAAAGAGGTGAACGATTGAAGTTGCATGACCGTGAATATTAGGGTAGTTCTAAAGAGTCGGAGAGCGCTTGTTTTTCCGTGGCGCTTCCATCTGCTGCAACAGATTACATCTGGAAAAAAAGGCAGCTGAAAGGAGAAAGCTTGCCCTGATCACCTACAGTTTCTAAAAGTACCTTTATTCCAAGAATTACATCTGCCCAGTGTGGTGTAGTGGGGAGAATGGCGGACTAGGACTCAGGAGGCCTGGGTTCGAATCCCCACTCTTGTCTGTGAAACTCACTGGGGGAGTGGAACTGGTAAAACCACTCCTTAAATGTCTCAGTAACCCTGAAAGCCCTATTAGCGTTGTGGTAAGTGGGTTTCAACTTGACAGCACAGAACACAAACACACCAAGCTGTGGTGGAGCATGTCTTCTTAGTCAATCAATGTGTCTGTAATAAACTCATTTGTATATTTGGTGATATGCACTCCCCCTCACTTCCAACCATGTTTCCCTAAATTAAAAAAAAATTTTGCTGCCTCCTAAATGGCTTTCCTCAAAGTGCTTCTCAGGAAGCTGGATTTGCAGCTTGAAACGGTAGAGGGCACTGTGGCTATTTGGAATTTGTGTTTGCTGGGAGAGAAAGGCTTTACCGTTCGTTGCAGGCTGGCAATGGCCTCAGTCTTCACCTGCAGAATTTGCCAGCTAAGTGCTGTTGAAAGCACAGGGACCCTTGGCTAGGGAGAGAAAGCAGCATCCATGTTTGTAATATGCATGAGAGTTACCAGCCTTTTTTTAAAAACCAACTCTACCATTTTCTTTAGCTTCTGTCAAGACACACATGAACCAACCATAAAAATGTTTTTTTGTGAAAAAGTTACTTTTGGGGGGCTACCATCATGAGAAGATAAGACTCGCTGGAAAAGGGAATAATTCTAGGAAAAGCTGAAGAGGGAGGAAGGGAAAGAGGAAGAGCAAAGAGAAGATTGTTTGACTCAATAAGGAAGCCATGGCCAAAGTTTGCAAGTCCTGAGCCGGGCTCTTAATGATAAGACCCTTTGGAGGTCATTAATTCATAGGGTCTCTGTAAGTTGTAAGTGACTTGGTGGCACCTAACACGATCGGTTCTCTGCATTCCCTCCTCCCATGTTGATTAGTGCATTTTGAGACTAGAAAAAGGGGAAAAATGACATTTTCAGAGACTAGTCATGCTAATCCGTTCTAGCATAACAAAAAAAATGTTTTAGAAGTTTTAACAGCCTTTTTAACGCTAATAGTTCTACTTTGCCATTAGCATTCAGGGTTACAGTTATTTCCTCAGAAGGAGATACGTAAAGGTTCCCCTTGACATTTAGTCCAGTCGTGTCCGACTCTAGGGCGCGGTGCTCATCCCCATCTCCAAGCCATAGAGCCAGCGTTTGTCCGAAGACAGTTTCCGTGGTCATGTGGCCAATGCGACTAGACACGGAACGCCATGACCTTCCCCCCATGGTGGTACCTATTTATCTACTCACATTTTTACATGCTTTCGAACGGCTAGGTTGGCAAGAGATGGGTCAAACGATGGGAGCTCCCTCCATCCCGTGGATTCGATCTTACGACCCCTGGCCTTCTGACCTTGCAGCACAGAGGCTTCTGCAGTTTAATGTGCAGTGCCATCACTGGAAGGAGATAGCCGATGTCAAAATGAATCCACCAGTTTTAAAAGTGCCACAAACCTTCCCTCCCCATGTTTTAAAGCCCTCGAAATATCTTTTCTAACCCCATACAGATGTATTCATTTTTTTAAAAAAGGGATTCATCAATTTGATTTTTGCAAGCCCCACAGGGATTGGCATTTCGTTAATGTAGAACGGGAAGATGAAAATGTTCTGGAGAGGTTGAAAGGGGAGGTAGTGTGGGTTCCTGCCTTGTCTTCTGAGATGTTGTGTCCCCTTGTCTTTCAGCATCAGCGAGGAGAGCGGCAGCTTCTTGCCCCCCAGCCCCTCCAGAAAAGACTTGGAAGGCAAAAGTGGAACAAAAGTTAGCCGCACGTTCAGCTACCTCAAGAACAAAATGTCAAGCAGTAAGAAGAGCAAAGTAAGTGCCTCTAGATGTTTGCAGTAGCTCGCGTGGGTGCTTTGGCGTCCAACAGTCTTTGCCAGCCGAAAAGCGTCTAGGTTGGCTTGACGCTACCTCTCCTTGGGGGGGGGGGTTGGTTGAAAAGAGGAAAGAGGTTGGGGTTCGGAGAGGAGGTGACTCCCACAGCCCAGGGAGCATTGGGTCCTTTGGGTAGAAATCTGAAAATGTAAAACTCTCGCCACTGAGGACGTCAGGATTTCGGCCATGGACGTTGAAGGAACTGAACCAGTGGTGTCTTTCCTGTGCAGTCTCTTTGCCGTGACGCAGCTGTATAACTAGGCCACTGCTAAAGCTCAACAGACTGCATGATAAGGTCCCCCCACCCCTTCTGAGACACAGGTAAAGGTAAAGGTTCCCCTTGACATTTAGTTCAGTCGTGTCCGACTCTAGGGGGCGGTGCTCATCTCCGTTTCCAGGCCGTAGAGCCAGCGTTTGTCCGTAGACAGTTTCCATGGTCACGTGGCCAGCACGACTAGACACAGAACGTCGTAACCTTCCCACCGTGGTGGTACCTATTTATCTACTCACATCTTTACATGCTTACGAACTGCTAGGTTGGCGGGAACTGGGACAAGTGACGGGAGCTCACTCCGTCATGTGGATTCGATTTAATGACGGCTAGTCTTCTGACCTTGCAGCACAGAGGCTGCAAGCGATACCACATCCATTTGAGACACAACATAATGCAAAATTGTAGTTTGGAGCTTTTAAAAGTTCATTAATCAGATGGTAGTCAAAAATATATCTGACATTTTATTCACCACTGAATTATAGGTATAACATTTTACCTAGTATTATTGATAATCACTTTGGATTGCAAAAGTCAGCAATAGAAAATGAACTGTCTTTCATATAAATAAAATTTAAATTTAGTATCTCAGACTCCCCCTTTTTTCACATTTTCATTATTTTCTCTGTTTTATTATGCCAGTCATTGTTCACAATCTACAGGTGATAATGTTCTCTGAACAGAGAGCAGGTTTGTAAAGAAAATAGTTGTTAACAGGTCAAACTATTTAACACAAAGGGCTTAGAAGCAGAGTTTGGAGAAGTTACTTTTGGCGGTCTGTAACAGTCACATGACCCCAGGACTTTCAGTCTTTAAAACTTTTCCAAGCCTTGCTTGGATTAGTTGTGGATTGGGAGCCCTTTTCTTTTTAAGTGCTCTTTCTTGAAAGATCCTGCTTCCGTGAAGCAATGCTGGATTTTTTAAAGATTGTGACATAGCAAGACGGTTGTGTAAAGGCAGCTTGTTTCCCTTTGTGGGTGCGTATCTCTGGAGTGTGAAGATTCTGTGAGAGTTCTGAAGTTCCTCTGTCTGTAGAGAGTCAGATAGGTTAAAAAACAAAAATTACAATGCATGTGTTAACTACCGTGTTTCCCCGAAAATAAGACAGGGTCTTATATTAACTTTTGCTCCAAAATATACATTAGGTCTTATTTTCAGGGGATGTTTTATTTTTTTTCATGTACAACAATCTACATTTATTCAAATGCAGTCCTGTCATCTTCAGGTTGCTGCACAAGGGTGGAGGGTGGGGGCTTCAGTTAATTGGGGCTTATTTTGGGGGTAAGGCTTATATGACAAGCATCCTGAAAAATCATACTAGGTCTTATTTTCATGTTAGGTCTTATTTTCAGGGAAACAGGGTGTTTGCTCCAGAGGCCTCAGCTTTACCTATCCAATTCACAGGTGGCATCTTTGATTAAAAAAATTCGATAAACCTCTTCATTTGTTCCACCCAAAAATAGTGTTCAGGGCATAACATATTCCATTTTATAATCAGAGGAAACTCTCTCAAATCCAAGTTAGTTTGTCATCTCCCTTGATTTGAGCAGCCAGAATTTCTCCAGATTATATTCCGGAATGCAAGGAAATAAGTAAAAATGCTACACAGTCAGTTGTTTCCGGTTACCCATACTGGTTTGACCACCGGTGAAATAATGCATCAGCGATGAGTCTGTTAGTTTGTCATCTCCCTTGATTTGAGCAACCAGAATTTCTCCAGATTATATTCCAAAATGCCAGGAAATAAGTAAAAATGCTGCACAGTCAGTTGTTTCCGGTTACCCATTCCGGTTTGACCACCGGTGAAATAATGCATAGACTTTGAAAGTTTTTATTTTTATGATAGTCTAACGGGAGGGCCTGGCGTGCTCTGGTCCATGGGGTCACGAAGAGTCGGACACGACTAAACGACTAAACGAACGAAACGAAATAATGCATAGACTTTGAGGGTTTTTATTTTTATGATAAACCTTTTTCAAGTCAAAGTGTCATCGTTTGCACAAATCCTTTATCATTTGGGCAAGATGACATGGTTCGAGGAAGATGGAGAAGCTGTTGTTGAAATTGAGAGCGGAGGTTCACATCCCTGCCACCTGGAGGTTGATAGAGCATCCGTGATCATGAGTATTGCATTGTGTTATATGAAGGATACATCTTCCAAACTGCAGTTTTTCAGGAATGGGGAGCCAGAAGCCTACCTTGGAATTACTAACATGGACGTCATGATTCGAGCGTAGCGCTAATCAGTTCGGAAACCCAACATGGTCTGCAGGGCAATAATGGAGAGGCTCCTCCCACTTAGCCCCGACTTCCCCCATGCAAGCGGCGATTAGTCTAACAGGAGAATTTCCTGCTTGCATGTATTTTCTAGAAAACTGGGCTTGCATGTAGAGACTTGTAAATAACTTCTATAGATTTCTCCCCCCCTCCATTTTAAAATGTTCGTGTGTGTGTGTTTTTTCTAGAAAACTGGGCTTGCATGTAGAGCCTTGTAAATAACTTCTATAGATTTCTTCCCCCTCCATTTTAAAATGTGTGTGTGTGTGTTTTAATTCCTGGGAATTAATTGTCGTTAGCTTTGTTTCTTGCATTTCTTTCTTTTGTGGGTTTAGCGTCTTGCTTTATTGCAGGTTTACTTGCTTATTATTTATTTAAAACATTTTTTAACCTGCCTTTCTACTGAAAAAGGAGCCCAAGCGGTTCCTTTTGATGTTGAAGTTTTATCTTCTGTTTTGTGTTCACATTGTTTTTACATTTCCTGTAAGCCACCCAGGGAACGTACAAGGTTATAGGTTGGCAAACAAGCACCCTGCTGTATGTCATTAAACAAATAAATACAGCTTACTCATACGTTGTCAACATTTAATGTACAACTAGTGATGGAGCGTTGGTAGATGTCAGGTTTGAGTTTTTGTAAGATAAGAGTCCTTTATTCTGACTGTTTAGGAATCATTTTACTTATTATACATACAGAGATGTTCTTCGTCCTGAATTGTAGCAAGATCATTTTTCTTGGGTTTATAGCGTGTGCATGAGTGCGCTGTTTATTTTCCCTTTCCCTTTTTTTTCTTCGTTTAAGAATTAAAAAACACAACCCAGTCTTGAAAGAGGAAGTGGACAGGATGTCTGTTGTTGCCTGCTTTTAAATACTGCTGGTAGTTATACTGCCATAAATATGTGACGGTTTTTCTTTTTTTTTTCTTGGAAATTGCTCTGTGCTTGGAGCTGGAAGGATACATCCCAAGCAACAAGCATAAGTTTATGACAGGGTCTGCTGGTTTGCGGTCAGCCCGTGAAAAGTATTGTTACCAGCCATAAGAGATATGAGTTTTGCTGCTGCTCCGTGCGTTGTATCTTTAGCCCCATCTCCCTTTCTATACCTGTTTTGTAACTTTCCTCAAAATCCAGAAGTGGAAGAGGTAGATGTGAGACCACTGGCACCAGAAGGGTTAAAAACAAAACACTTTGAGGAAAACAGCAAGAAACAACCCTTCCTTCTCTCCTCCCCTCTGTCTTTCTCTTGCTCAACTCGTTTCTGACTTCCTTTCCCTCAACCACCCTTTGATGATAGCAGATTCAGCGAGAGCGACAAGATAGGGCTTTTCCACCACCCCCTCCTTCTCCACCTTCTAACATCATGGATGGATAGGTGTTTGCCACCCCGTCTCCTGCGTGGCAGCCGGGAAGTATGTCTCTAAAATGGCATCGGTTTTCCAACGTACCCCAAATAACTGTGAACTTGATAGGACGGTTCCATGCAGAGGTAAGATGTTTCCCCCCCCCCATTGACCTCTGATGGTTTGTGTGATTCGGGGGACAAGGCAGGGGTCCAGGGGAGGATCAAGAGATCCTCCTCTCTTGGAGAATTGATGGGTCAACCGAAAGGTCAACTGTTTGAGTGCCTAATCAAACCCAGTCCATCTAACGGACCCTTGTGGCACAAACTGGCTTGCTTGCCCACTTGGACCTGCTAGTGGGTGACTTTCTATCTGCTTCTAATGAGACTTTGTGTTTTGTTTCAATATTGGTATGGGAGTCTGTTCTTTTTTGAGGCTTTCTCCCCCCCCTTCATTGAAGTGCTTGATCTCCATTTCCTGTTTTTTTAACTGAGAAAGCAGCTTGTGCCTACTCTCCTTCTAATGAGTTCAGCCAGGGGTGCTCCTTAAACAAAAAACAGGGTGTGCAGTCCCTTAAATAGGAGAATGCTTTCTTAAGAATTGAGAACCTTAGTAGCTGCCTTGGCCCTACCAGTCAAGACACAAAGAAGTACCAAAAATAGGTGGTTTTGATGGGCGAGTGGGTGCATGAAATACTGGCAGCGAAAGGAAGCTTGTGTCGTGCGGAAGTCTTCAGAGATATTGAAATTAAGTTGTCCTGGGGAGCGTCGGCAGCTGAAAACCTCTCTGTCCGCGCTGTCGGAAGCAGAAAGCAGAATTTGGCAGTCTAGCCCCATTTACAGAGTCTTTTTAGAGGAGTTTTAGCAATCCTTCCAATAGCCTTGTAAGAATTTTAGCATTATGCTTCCCTTGTTTACTAATGTTGGGTACAGTACCTTTGTTTCAGAGAGGTTAAATCCAAGTGGGGTGTTAAGGTGCTGCTGGAGAAGTCAAGCCGGTCTTGCTCGGGCTAGGCTATAGGTCTCCAAATTTGTGGGAGCGAGGTGGCCGGGATGAAATGGCCCTCCCTATGAAAGCTGTTTCCCCTTAAAGAAAACTAGAATATCTGAGACAAAGGCTAACCCTTGCAGTGTGTATTGGTTTTTTATTAGTTTTCTTTTTTTCTTTTTTATGGGGGAGCATCCGGTTACGCAATCTTTGGGGCTGAAATTTGAAGTGGTGGGATCAGTAAGAGACTTGGTAAAGGCAGAGGGGTGTTTAGTTTGCAAGCCCTGGAGAGGGACTATAATGACAGGACCTCGTAAGTCAGAAGTGACTACATAACAGCTGCATCCCCGGCTTATGTTTACTGCAGCGAGAACATGGCTTACAAAGGCTTCAAATACTAGAAGGATTGCTTTCTGTGTTGGTGGGTGGATACGGTTCCTCAAATGCTCCCATAGAAGCCCACGCCGGGAGTTTTTCTGTATGTTTATGAGCATCAAGGTTAGCGTTGCTGCAGGGAAGAGACAAGATCACAACTATTACTGTTGTGGCCCGGACGATTTTCCTTTTACCAAATCTTGTTTTTGCGAATCAACAATTCTTGTTGATTCTTGGGAATACCGGTGTTACTTTTTTTTTGTATTTTTAAAGAAAAGTCTGTTCCTGAAGGTTTCTGTGGTTTCAGCAAGTCAAACGCTTCAGTCTTGCAGTTCTCAAACAAAGACGTTCTGCTCCAGGCTGGCCTCTGCCCCGTTGAAGTTCTGCCTCAGCATCCTTGGGAGGATTGTGAATTTCAGAACAGCCTTCGGACTGAGACTCATTTGCCTGAGAACATTTTTCTTCAATTGTTGGCAACGATCAGAGCTGCAGAGTCAAAGCACGTTTGCAGAAACGATAGCCTTGGCTGTCCTTCCAAATAATTGTGTCTGTGGGTTCAGGTGTAATAAACTCAAGATCCCACAGCTCAGAAGAATCGCATATGGAACTCAAGACTTGTCAAGCATCCCAATGTGGTTTCGTGTGTCTACACTACACACTGACAGCAGTTTGATACCCTTTTGCTTACCAATGGCTACGTTCTGTGCCAGGGTTTGTAATCGTTAAGGCCCTTCGTATTTTGTCATGTTGTCGTTCAAGGGGAGAGCACTGGAATTCCTACCAGAAACCCCAGGATACTGTAAGATGGGTCCATGGCTGTTAAAGCAATATCATCTAGCCACAATTTTATAGTGTACATACGCTGTACGTCCCAGGGCTGTGGGGCTTTTTCTCAAGTGAATGTGCTGAGGACGGCTCCTCCTTTCGACAGCCCGGTTGCTACTGCTTTATTTATGGCGTCATTTCTCTCTGGAATGCAGTGCCAGAAAAGGTGGCTGATAAAGGCAGCCCGGAGGGGTTACAGTCAGAGCTGTAGGTATGCGCAATGCTTCTGGAAGCACTTGGGGCTGAGTAAGAGAGACGGAGACGCAGTTTTACATGTCCTGTTTCCAGCCTTTTCATGTGTCATCCAGAGGCCACAGAACTTTTCCTTCTGCACATTGCAGAAGTTGGCTGGCCAGCCGGCCTTTCTCTTTCCTTCCGTCTCCCTCGCCTGCCTTCCAACTGGTTTACAGTTAACTGTGTCCCTGCTGAGCTTGTCAACCAGTGGAATTAATAGCAGGCACAGTTTTCTGGCATCTCCCCCAGCCAACCCCACAGGTATTATTTTAGGGCACTGGCTCAAGAAATGCTGGCCATAATCTAGTTTTCAGTTTATGCTTGCACAAATGGAATGGCATAAATTGCGGAAGCAAATTTCTGCTCGTTGCCAAAGTGCTGGTTGCCTTCTTGGGTTGCAAGCCAAAATCGGCAGCGGGAGGTCTAGCTATCCGAAGCGTTAGAAGAAAAACCAAAGTATCCCCTTGGGAGCAAAAGGAAAAGCGCTCGTTTTACTGAGTTCAGCCAAAATTACACAAGATTGTGTAAGCTTTTGGGTTCTCCAGAAGTCTTCACCAGGCTTTGCAGTTTTAAAAATGGTGCGCGTGGGAAGGGAAGCGTAGAAGTGCAGAAAATTGGCCCAAAATGGTAAAGATGAGAACTGATGCTGCTGAGAGATCACCAACGGGATGACTCAACCAAACAACGTATCACCAAATTGGTAAAATAAAGAAAGACGACAAGAGGCAAAAGGAAGAAGCACTTTACTAAAAGTAAGCAAACCTTGAGAAGTTTGCTAAGTGTTCTTACTGTCTTATAAGAGAACCATCGTACAGACACGCTTGGGGGGTCACCCAAGAAGATTCAGCATCCTAAAGATGAAGATAAAGAGGAAGCAGAGGAACAGTTTTCATTGTCTTCTTCCAAATGGGTCAAATATCAAAAACAAATGGGTCTATACCAGACGGTCTGGTGAGCTTTGTGGTATTTAAGACGGAGCTTCTGAAAGCTAGGTCAGGTAGAGGGACCCTGTCAACCTCCAGGTGATGTTGGGAACCTGCAGCTCCCATCATCCTTCGCTGTGGTGTGTCTAGCTGATGAGAATTGCTTTATATTATATAGATAATATAAAGGATACTTCCCCTGCAGTATCCTTTATATCAGTGGTCCCCAACCTTGGACCTCCAGATGTTCTTGGACTTCAACTCCCAGAAATCCTGGCCAGCAGAGGTGTTGGTGAAGGCTTCTGGGAGTTGTAGTCCAAGAACATCTGGGGGCCCAAGGTTGCGGACCACTGCTTTATATTATCTATAACATTGAGTGGCTTGTTCCTCTCCTGGCAGATAGGTGATATGGATGGAAAGGTGTTCATGTGTATCAGTGGTAGATTTGACCATACCGAACAAGTTCTGTGTTGGGAAGTGCCAGCGGTTGTGTGCTGTCAGCAAGCTTGGTGAAATGGAGACCCTCTATGCGTGCTGGGGATGCTGTAGCTTTCGTTTCTTCTACACAGCTCAACATGTTATTGCTAAGTAGATAAATGTAGGAAATACTGATACCCTTGGTCAGGGAGGTTGAGTCATACATGGATGTGCATCATAGCAGGTGTCAACCGTGGGTGACGCACACTTCAGCTTGTGAGTTTGCCGTTTGAGGGCATGGAAGGTGAGACTGAAACATGGATGTTTAATGTGCAGGCTGTTTCCCACATGCAACCACCCGCTGTTGGGGGTGCCCCATTACTGAAGGTTTCCAAGAAAAGTTTGCAGAACCATCTATCCGGGATGGGATGAGGTCTCCTGTCTTGGGTTGGACTAGAAGACCTCCAAGGTCCCTTCCAACCCTACGAATATTCTGTGATTCTATGATCTTGATCTTGCAGGCAACGATGCTCCAGTACAGGCTGAATTCTCTCTCTTTTTTTTGGGTCCCTTCCAACCCTACGACGATTCTGTGATTCTATGAACCAGTCTCATGATCTTGCAGGCGACGATGCTCCAGTACAGGCTGAATTCTCTTTTTTTTTTTTCGGGCAAGAGGTCCCCTTCCCCCTTAAAGAACATGGCATGCTTTTTGTCCCTCTCGTTTCCTCACCTCCCTGCTTCCCTGCTCTTCTTTTTCAGGAAAAGGAGAAAGAACCCTACGACGATTCTGTGATTCTATGAACCAGTCTCATGATCTTGCAGGCGACGATGCTCCAGTACAGGCTGAATTCTCTTTTTTTTTTTTCGGGCAAGAGGTCCCCTTCCCCCTTAAAGAACATGGCATGCTTTTTGTCCCTCTCGTTTCCTCACCTCCCTGCTTCCCTGCTCTTCTTTTTCAGGAAAAGGAGAAAGACAAGGAGAAAATAAAAGAGAAGGAGAAAGATTCCAAAGATAAAGACAAGGACAAGAAGTCGATAAACGGGCACCTCTTCGCCGCCACCCCAACCGTGGGGCCGGTCACTTGCTACCACTGCCTGAAACCTTTTAACAAGGACTCTTTTGCCTGCTCAGGTGAGCCAGCTCCTTTCGCTTGGGGTTCTTTTGCAGATCACCTGGAGCGTTTCTCCCCTACCTGTTGAAACATAGATGCTGAGTATGAGAATTTCGGGAAGGTTACCATTTGGAACTCAAAAAGAGGGTTGATTGCTTTTGAAATGGTTAAGACAGAATTCATCCTGTGCGATTATCTAGAACAGGGATTCCCAACTTTAGGTCCCCAGATGTTCTTGGATTGCAACTCCCAGAAACCTTCACCACTAGCTGTGCTGGCCAGGGTTTCTGGGAGTTGTAGTCCAAGCACATCTGGGGACCCAAGGTGTTGGGAACCACTGATCTAGAATAAATTCATGGATGGACTGCCTCTGCCTTTTCTTCCAGGGGACCTAAGGTTGGGAACCACTGATCTAGAATATAGTAATTCATGGATGGACTGCCTCTGCCTTTTCTTCCAGGGAACTTAAGGTTGCAAATGGGTCTCTTTTCCCCTACAGCAGTGGTCCCCAACCTTGGGCCTCCAGATGTTCTTGAACTACAACTCCCAGAAGCCTACACTACCACCCCTTTTGCAAATGGGTCTCTTTTCCCCTACAGCATCCTTTATATTATCTGTAACATTTTGCTATGGTCGCGCCATCTGTTTCAAGTCCTAGCTGGAACTGTTAATCATTACATCTTACTGACCAGAACATCTGGAGGCCCAAGGTTGAGGACCACTGCCCTACAGCATCCTTTATATTATCTATACATTTTGCTATGGTCGCACCATCTGTTTCGAGTCCTAGCCGGAACTGTTAATCATTACATCTTACTGATGGCTAATTAAGGCTTACTTGACACAGGCCCGGTGTCAGCAACTCGCCCAGCCCGGCAAATGTCAGGGCCTCAAAGAGATGACCGCTGCTAACTTTTGTCTCCTTTCCTACTTGCTGGAAAAAGAAGGGATAAGAAGAGCCTAGCAACAGGAAGAAAGCTGAGCAAAATTATAAGAAGGAAATGAAGATCATATCACTGGAACAGTAATGAAGACTTAATTAAGTTACATTTAATGAAATGATGATAAATCTAATGCAATGACCCTGTGCCAGAGCCCAGAGGAATTCTGGAGAGATGAGAAGATGATGGGCATCTTAATGGAGGTGCGGGTAGTACAGAACATTGCAGGGCTGCGCCAGAGGATCCCTGCATTAGATTTATAATGATTTCATTAAAGTTAACTTACATAAGCGTTCATTATCGTTCCATTGAGATCATTTTTTTGTTTCTTTCTTGAAATTTTGCTCAGCTTTGTTAATGACCTTCCTAAGCACAGTGTGCTCAATTATTTCTTGCCAATGCGGGAGTGCTGCTCCTTCAGTTGATACAGGGGCTAATTCGTTCACATGGTCAGGCAGACAAGAACTATTCCAACAACATAAAGATCATGAAATTGTAGCTGCTGTGTTCAGACAGACAGACAGACAGACAGACAGACAGACAGACAGACAGATAGGAATTCTAGGCAGCCCAGTAATAAATTTTTTGAGTGATGTCCAATATATTAGAAACCTGAAATTGCATACAATAAATACAGCAGAAAATGAAAACAAATCATAATAATACTACAATAAAACAGCAGCAAAGAATGAAGGCCCACAGATCAGTAAAAAGCAGCAGCAAAATAAAAGAGTGCCAAAATCTAAAAGATATAAAACCAGTTCTTGAAAATGAGAATAAAAAGGTGTTCACCTTCTGCTCCAATGATTGTACTTGAGATGAAGGCAAACCTCTCTGGAAAGGTTGTTTTATAGACAAGGGGCCACTATTGAGAAAAAAAAGCAACAGTAGCAACATCTTGAATTTTGATTAGCTAGTGTTTTAAGATGGGTTTGAAACAGATTTTTAACATCCTGTGTTGTGTTAAAAAAACACTGCATTGCCTGGTTGATTCTTGAGATCAAGGTCAGTTGACCCCTTGGGCAGTCCCATTAAAATCTTCTGACCTGCGGTAGAGACATTAAGGTCATCTCAAGATGCAAATGAGCTTGTGTTCAGGTGAGACTTTAGGGGGAAAATTTCCGGCTGGTTTATGCGCTAAAGCTGGGATCAGGTGGGCGAAGGCTTGCCTGAGTCAGAAACTGTGGCACAATCCAGTATTTCCCTCCTAGTGCTTGACATCAGGTATAGAAAGTCAAAACTGAGCCTTTGTTATCTTCCGGGGGTGGAAATTCCTGGATGGAGAATCTGCACTTGCCGGTTTGTTGCTGTTGACTCAGGTGAAAACACAGGCTCGTGTTAAAGGTTAATCTCTTGAGAGGTTTCTCTGTTGCCCAACTGTGTTGACTCTGATCGTGATAATGAGGAACCAAGTGGCGAGCTTTCTCCTAGGGCAGCTGTCGCTCTACCTTAAAAGTGCTGTTTGAATAACTGTTTCCCTAGAAGAAGTCTTTGAACCTTTCTCTTTCTCAGAGAAGCTCAGAGCAGAACTGGAAGACCCGAGGCGACTGCCCAGCTAGGCTTGTGCCGATAAACCTTCTCCCAAGCGTTCACCCTTACAAGGCCACTGGATTGGTGTGGCTCTTTCTCACAAGGCCCCCACATGCCAAACCCAAGTTTGATGCTTAGTGAGTTAGGTCCCTGGCTGTGGAGCCAGAAGTTGGGAGTTCGATTCCCCACTCTGCCTGCTGAGTCTTGCTGGGATAGTGGCGAAGGATGAACGTCCCCTAATGCCAACCTTGGACCTCCAGATGCTCTTGGACTATGAACTCCCAGAAGCCTTCACCACCACCTCTGCTGGCCAGGATTTCTGGGAGTTGAAGTCCAAGAACATCTGGAGGCCCTACGGTTGGGGACCCCTGCCCTAGAGGAAGAGAATGGAAAACCACTTCTGAATACTCTCTGCTTAGAAAACCCTGGAATGGGTCACCAAAAGTCAGTTGACTTGGTGACACGTAGACTAACAATGAAAAGGGATGTGCTGGCTTCTTAGTTTTGATTTACTTGGGTTTTCCCACATCTCACCTTTTTTTTCTTCCCATCCTTGCTTTTTTAAAAAATAAAAAATAAAAATATAATATAAAAATATTTTTAAAATCATATTGAAATATTTCTTCCTACTGAAATGTATATATATGTTTTTTTCTAACGTGAGCATTGATCTGCTCATTTTATTATTAAAAAAAGGCAATTTGTCCTGCTGGCCAAAGTGTGTTTTGTGCAGCATTTTCTTCCAATGCACATGTTGTGCTAACATGCACACCTTGTTTGGTGTGAACTTTATTCAACCGAAACATCTCGCAAGCCTCCTGAATGTGCAGGTTCCCAAGGTGAAGCATAATCTTACAGTGGGTAAGAAATACTAATATTCCGTGTGCTGTCAAGTCAATTTTTTACTTACGGCAACCCTTTCCAGGGTTACTCAGAAGTGCTTTACCCTTCCCTTCCACTGGGGGCGCCCTGGCTGTACTCACAGGGGGGAATCAAACTCCTCTAACCACTGGCTCCGCATCCAGATACCCAAATGATTGAGCTTTGCAACCAGCTTAGTAAGAAAGAAAATGAGTAAAAATGTGTTTTCGTCAAAACTATTGAATCCAGTAAAACATTTTTTCCCACTGATAACACTGCATAGTGTGGTTCAGAGTCCTTAAGGGATGGGGTTGCAGGTATTCTGTCCATTGCCAAGACTTAATTGGGTGCCTCTTAGCTTGACATCTGAATGAGAAGGAGAACTAACCTTTTAGTTATTATCAATATATTTGCTTTCTTTTGTACCCCCTTTGCTGCTTGCTTTGGTTTCTGCAAGAAGGGTGGTTCTCCTGTCATCACTACATTGCCATGTATAGTATCTCAGCTGGATCATAATTCCTTTAGTTTTATTAAGCGAGGCACCACTGTATAGTATTTCAGCTGGATCATAATTCCTTTAGTTTTCTCTTTCTGTCCCAGAAGTACAGTAATGCATTTTTCGAACAGAATTCCCAGTAGAAATCTTGCTGAGAATATTTTTTTTCTGATGAGGATCATGAAGTGCTTTGCACCTAAGATGGTAGAACGACTAAACTCTACTTGAATGGCTCAAGAAGAATACGAAGTGGAAACCCTATGGGAGCATAAATGTTGCTCATGCTTGTTGTTGTCCTTCCTTCTATCTAGGCTGTGGCGTCCTGGTCCATAAAAGCTGTAGAGAGAGCCTGCCTGCTTGCGCCAAGGTCAAAATGAAGGTATAGAAATTCCCCTCTTTTTGTTTGAACACAGATTTACATGCCCAGAGCACCAGGGGTGCACACATACGGTTAAGCTTGTTTGCGCCTTGACATCGTATCCTGGTGATTGCTCCAGGGAGGTTGGAATGTAGACCTCTCTGCTCTTGAGATAAAGTGGCTTTATCAAACATCTCAAGTCTGTGTTGTCTTGAGATACATTTCTAGACCTAATGATTGCTGGAAAAACAAACAACACGTTTTAGACCAGATTCCGGTGGATAAGACTTCCAGTGAGTTGGTGTCAGGGTGCTAGATTTTTGTTTCATTGGGATGACAACCCTAAATGCATGGATTTTCTACATTCCTGTTGTTGTTTATATTATTATTATTGTATGTTGTTAGCTGCCCAGAGTAGACTTCGGTCTAGATGGGTGGGATATAAATTAAATCAATAAAATAAAATTCACCTATGGCAGAGGTTCCCGACCTTCGGTCCCCAGGTGTTCTTGGACTAAAACTCCCAGAAGCCTTCACCACTAGTGGGGCTGACCAGGATTTCTGGGAGTTCTAGTTCAAGAACTTCTGGAGACCCAAGGTTAAGAACCATTGGCCTACGGAAAGGAGAAGATTGGCATTCCATTCATCTCATTCTGGTGATGACAGTGGGGCTTTTATGGGCTTGTAGTGCTCCGCATTGATGCAGATAAATCAGATGTGATGCCTTACCAACATGCTTTCAGCAGTTGTATTGGCTGTTGAGGAAAGAGCTTTTAACAGATCACTGCAATGCTTTTAAAAAGTCTGCACACTTTCAAATCTCTTTTTCATTAAATAAGAGTTTTGATGTTCTAGTTGTTGAGGTGTATTCTAATGTGGTCGTCTTCTATATATTTCATTATCCATGTGGAAAGCTCATAGGAAGAAGGGAGAATTTCATCCGAACCCACTTTTAATTGTCACTCACCTAATGTAAAGGGTGACATGTCTCTTAAGGAAGAACCTCCCCTTGTGGGTTGTAATCCTGTGTAAAGTGTCCACAGATGGTGGATGATCTCTGCTTCAGAATTACCTCCCTCCGTGCATAGGAAAATGCAACACAAAGGGACAGTGGGGAGTGTTTTGAGGCTGTTGTGATGTGCCATGTGCCCTGGAAGTTTTTTTCTTCTTCTTCATCTTTTCCTTTTCTGGAGAGGAGGAAAGGATGGTTTGTAAAATAAATCACTACATTTATCTGTGGTTATTTACTCTGGACAGCTTATGCACTTGGTTGTATCCTTGTGAGATCCACAGTCCTAAGAATAATTGGTTCAGCCTTTTGCTTTGTTCCTATCTCGATTTAAGGCTGTTAATGGCAGGGCTTTCCTAAAGCCTTAATTCGTAGGATGGCTGTAAGTGGGAAATCCAATGTTTTGCTGAAACTTCCCTCCCTCTGGCCATGTACGGAATAGGAGCAGGGTGGGCCCAGAGATGTAAAAAGCAAGACCCTTCTCAACGACCACGGGATCTCAAAATGCAGATGGGATGGTCTATTTTAACACACATACACCCCACCTCAGGTCAAAATCAACACATGAAAAGCTACGAATCCTTGTACGCATACAGGGAAGTTTTGATCCAGAGCCAAACGGAGGGAGGAAAAACAGGACCACTTCCCCATACATGTTCTCTGATTTTACATTTGTGTCAAGGGCTGTACCACAGGACCTTTTGAATAGTTAGAATGGCTTTTATTCTGAGAAAACCTGGGTCAGGATGGGGGGGGTAAGAAATATGATAAAGATAGGTGTATGTATGTTCCTAATGTGAAATCCATCATTCTAAATCTTTTATTTCAGCTCCAGAAAGGAGGTCTCCAACCACACGACACCTCGTCCTTGCCCACAGTAATTATGAGAAGTAAGAGTGAGTAGCTTTTTTTGGCCTTCTCTCTTCCTTGCTGTAATTTCTCAGAAGTTGTCTTTTTATTACTTCCGGGTCGTTGTGGCTGAGTCTTTGCACTTCTTTTAAGCAACTGAGTAATAGGTAGTGTTGGTTGAGCAATCACAAACCGATTCTGCCTTTCATTTGGGCAAAACCCTTGAGATTCTGAAAAGTGGCGTTGGTCGAGTGCAGGGCGAGGGGGGGGTTGATTCCAGGTCTTTGGAACCCACCGACGCTTGAGAGAGCCACAAGAAAATTAAGCTGTTCCCCCACCCCACCCCCAAAAAAGCAGAGCCCTACAGCCACCACTGCCACTGGACAGAATTCAGAGATCAAGTCTAACTTCTTTCTCCCTCCTATATTCTGCCGCTTAGCAATGCTTCAAGCGCAGTTAGCGCCAAACATGGGGAGGAAAGGTTAACCATGCAGTGGTCAAAAATCTCTGTGTTATTGGTGGCCCCGCAGGATGGTTGGTGCGTCTGCCCTGCCTGGTTTTTTGAGCTACCTGTTGAAGGTTTAAAAATACAGAACACTGCTATGAAGAGAAGATACGCACAAGTCAAAGCCACTCTCTAGGTTTGCCTTCTGTTTTGAACATACAACAACTTGATGCGCCGTCAAGTTCCAAGATATCAGCCCGCCTGTGGCTTGCTGATGAGCTTAGTCCTCATGCCTGTTGCTCTTCTCTTGCAGCCTCTCAAGCCAAGGAAAGGCCTCGCTCTGCAATCCTCGCCCCCGACGAGAGCACCCCGATGACCTCCTTGTTCAATAGCAGACGGTCCCAGCATAACCCGTCCCTTTCCAAAAGCGTCTCAATCCAAAACATTGCAGGGTAAGAGGGTGTTGGGAGGTTTTCTTGGAGGTGAGGGATGGAAAGGGTGTTATTCAGAGTGAATATGCCCATGTTGAGATGTACAACTCAGTGGACGAATGTATTAAGAGTGGATTCTGTTTTTTCCTTGAATTGGGCTTGACCCTCCAGATGCTTGGCCTACAACGCCCGTCTGCGCCATCTAGATAAGTCAACAGTAAGAGATGGCAGGAATTATAGTCTGTAGGGCAAAAGGCTCCTGCTCCTGGAGTAGATGGTAAGAAGAGAAGACTGAGGGGAGATAGAATAACACTTTTCAGATACTTGATAGGTAATCCTACAAAGGAGGGGCAGGATCTGCTCTCGAACAGCCCAGAGTGCAGGACCCGCAACCATGGGCTCAAGTGACAGGGAGCCAGATTTAGGCTGAAGATCAGGAAAAAAAAACTTCCTAACTGTTAGAGAAGTACGACAAGGGAAACAATGACCTTGGAAGCTGGTGAGTGTTGCAATGCTGGAGGCATTCAAGAGAAACTCTATTTAAAAATATCCTTTGATTTGGATTCCTTCCTTGATCAGTGAGTTGGACGTCATGGCCTTATAAGCCCCTTCCAGTTTCACTGTTCTGTGATTCTATGGTAGCAGACTAGACAAGCCAGTGTCTTTAATATAACATGGATATTATTCTGCTAACGGGCATAAAATAGCAGATGGAACTCCCTCCGTTCACATTGTCCTGTTAGCAGCTCAGGAAGCAGGTCAGTCTGCAAGGGAGTGACTGAGCCAGACGTTAGGTTTGACCGCTCAGTGAGGACTTGAAGTTCGATCTTGTCCCAACACAAAGCCACTATGGTGCACAGACTCATTAGCACGCCTCTCTACAGACCGTAGAACTGGTGAACTTCAGGGGGAAGGAGCCCCTGGCTGTGGAGCCAGGGGGTCTGGAAACCATATCTTCACAGTGCCTCCTGAGATCACCTAGAATCTGTGTGGCCGATGGGATTACTTGTCTTGCCATGTGTGACCTTGGGCAAGCTCTTAGTACCACTTGTGCCTCATACCCCGGGATTCTGTGGGTGGTGACCCCGAGGGGGACCTGAAAATCTGCCACTCGAAACGGGGTCTTCTCGGTGGTCGCTCCATCACTTTGGAACTTGCTCCCACCTGAGGTACGATGAACCCCCATCCCTCGGTTTCAGGAGACCAGTTAAAACCTTACTCTTTTCACAAGCCTTTTTATGGCCTTACCCCAGAGTAATCTTGCAGATCAATGGGGCTTCTCCCCCTCCTTGGTTTATGTACCTGCCCTGTTTTCTCCACCTTTATTTTATTTAATATTTTTGATATGTCGCCATTTATATTTTTTACTAGGTTTTTTATCTTTTGTTTCACGTTTATCAATATGTGAGTGTCAATTGGGATTGTTTGTATTGTTATGATTTGTTGGCCACCTTGAGGACTAGTGGCTGCGTCACAAATTGAGCGGGATAAAAATACAAATGAAGGATTAATAAATCAGAAGAAGGGCCGAGCGAGCTGCTCCATAGCTAGAAAACCGTAGGAGAATCGTCGTAAGCTGGAAGTGACTTGACGGGCCGCAGCAACTGTTATCCAGACTACAGCTGTGTCAGAGTTTACTTCTTATCCCCTTGTTTACTGAGAAAGAGCCAGAAAAAGTTTAATTCATTTGAGCCTTTGGAAAGGCCAAGCTGTGCTGAAGGTGGCAATACTGTTTGAAGGAAAGGGGTTTCAGGGAGGAAAAGCGGCCATTTTCCACTTGTGCCAACTCTGCAGTCTCTCTTTTTGGTGAAGAGCTCGGTCCCCAGAGCCAGTTCTCTGCCAGAGGAGCACTTTCCCGCCTGAAATCCTCATTTGCCTACTTTTCTCTCTCCCCCACTCCTTCCTCCTTCTCCCTCTAGAGTCGGAAGCGATGAGAGCATACTCCACACTCTGAAATTCCTGTCTCAGTCAACCGACTCCTTGAATAAAATCAGCCGGGTGAACGAATCCATGGAGTCATTAACAGATGAAGGTAAATGATCCGGTTGACACAGGGGGTAATAAATCTGCAGGGTGGCAGCTGGGTGTTCGCAAACGTACATTTCCTGTGCGCCGAAACCCAACATCGAAGAAAGAGCACCAGCTGAGACCCCTTTCTGATGTGGCCGCTTCCCCCTAGACTGAGCAGAGCCAAAAGATAGGACAGCCACCCTTCCAAGCGAAACTTTGTGTACTCCCCTACATTCTTCATGATGGAGACAATGGCTTTTGAGCTTTGTTTTTTTTTTTTAAATTGAGGTGGTAAAGTAGAATGTGGTTGGCTAGACACTTCAGGGTTTTAGGTTTCTGGCTGCGGAGTTAGAGGTTGAGAGTTCGATTCCCCCACTGTGTGCCTCCTCGGAGAAGAGCCAGCCTGGGTGGCCTTGGGCCAACTGCACAGTCCCAGGGCGCCCCCTAGAGGAACGGGAGGGTAAACCCCTTCTGAGTACTCTCCGCCTAGAAAAAGGATATCTATAAGTCAGAACTGACTTGACAGCACACCGTTATTATTAAAATATTCACCATGGCCACTTAGATAGCAGGTTTCTCAGTCAGTGACAGCTCATTTCTAGATTTCATTGTGGATAAATGTGACTAGAGGTTATTCTCATTTCATGTGCGTGTATGAGGCATGCTTAAATAATTACCTAAATAAATAAATGCCTAAATAATGGGGTATTTGTAAACCCACAGCTGAACTGACTTTATCCACATTTCCCAAACTTAATCGGCTGGTCACAATGTATGTCACTTTTTGACTTTCCACGTCTCTGAATTTTGTGATGCAGTTTTCAACTCAATAAGAGATAATTTAGGACGAAAGGTTTCTGTGAATGTATCTTCAGAATTAACGCAGGATGGCAAAACCTCAGTTGCATATTAGGAACGGAATGGACGCAGTGCCAATTTATGCTTGCATTGAAGGGAAATCATGTACGGCTTAGGGACAAATCGCTACCCAGTTATGAGGCAGTGGTTGTGTTTCCGGGTGCACATCTGATTGTGTGCTTGGGTGTGCAGCAAGAAATACAACCAGCACTTAACAAATTAGTGGTGATTTGCTGTAAATCTCTGGTAGGATTCTAGTCAATCTATTCAAAAAGAGGCTGAGATACAAATTAGTTTTTTTCCCCTCTTCGACGTGTGAATAGGTTGTTTTGAACCTGGAAATTAACTTTATTTGCATAAACCTTGTGTGCCCCAGGATATAACTGTAATCCGTATGAACATTCAGTTTAGCTGATAGTACTCTAGGATATGGAAAATAGCATCGGTTCAAGCCGCAATGTGCTGAGGATCTACTTTATAGCGCCGACATTTCTTCAAGCATAGGAATTTTCTAAAATCCTATTTAGAGGATAAGGGGACATTTTCTCTGTGGAGCCCCTGACTAATCCTTCGCTCCCGGCACATCTGCTAATTGCTTTTTTGTGGTCTGAATGCGCACCCTTTGCGAGGCTGTCTCGAAGCATTTGGTTAATTTGCCAGAATAAACAAAGGCAGATAAATTGTATGTTAATTGCAATGCAATTACGGGAAATTACATAAATGGGTGGCTTTCAGAATGTTACTCAGCAATTCGGGGACTCCCTCAGCATTAAATACTAAGTAACTTAGGATTTTAAAAATCGTGTAATTAATGCAATTCAGCCATATTTTCATGTGTGAATAAAAGCTTCTTCCTGATTTTTGCTGGATGTGCGATGCAACACAAAGTGGAAAAGTTACTTTTTGCAATTTCCAGGTTTCCAGAATACTCTGACCAATATAGCCAGGGGACACACTGGCTGGAATATTCTGGGAGATGTGTGTCAAAAGTGTAACTTTCCCACCCTTGGCAGGATCATATATCTAACAAGAAGCGGGAAGAATCTCTTTTTTTCATTCACTAATAAAAGATGAACCTTCTGCGTCGACGAACCTAACTTGGTTTAAACGATTCGGCACTATACGGATCCAAAGGGTGGATCTGGCAACAGATACGAAGGGGCCATCCTGCAAAACTAGGTGGTAGAAGAAGCCTCTGAAGCACTTCTGATGCAGCCCGCTTCTCCTCCTCGTTAGGTGCAGACATGAACGAAGGCCAGCTCATGGGAGATTTCGAATCAGACTCGAAGCAACTGGAAGCGCAGTCCTGGAGCCAAGTGGTAGATGCGAAGTTCCTCCGACAGCAAAAGAAAGACACGGTGAAGCGTCAAGATGTTATTTATGGTGAGCATCATGCTGGAAATGGAAACCAACTGGTTTTGATTCCCTAACCAGAGGAAGCTAAATTCTGCCACCTTATATATGTTGGCAAAAATCTGTGGTTCCTAGTATTGTGTACATTCGTTTTTTTCTGAGCATCGCAGAGTAGAGTAGAGATCTGATTTATACATGTTGCTGAGACTTCTCTCTGACCACTGCCTATCTCATTGACCAGCTCCTGGGGCTGTTGAGATTTTAACAGTAGGAATGCTTCTACTTTAAAATAGAGCAAAATTTTTTGGCCTTGCTTGTTTTTACTTTGTTGTTTTTCTCTCCCCCCCCCCCCGCCTTGTCATATTGTTATTTCTTAATGTTTGCGTTTTTATTTTGTTTGGTTGCTTGTTCTCCTTTCGTATGGTCTGTGAGTGGTCTCATCATTGTTCTGACGAAGCAGAATATAATAAATAAAATACAGTATCCTCCCAAGCCATTCTCGAACTTCTGCCAAGATAACTTGGAAAAGCTGGACACTTTGCTGTGTTGTGTAGCTTTTCTTTGCTGATCAGTCTCAGCTGTTGGAGCATCAGTGCGTGAAAAGAAGCGATCAGAACCAGAGATGACAGAAGTCAGTCAGTCAGTCAGTCAGTCAGTCAGTCAGTCAGTCAGTCAGTCTGTCTGTCTGTCTGTCTGTCTGTGTGGTGCAACTCCCAACATCCTACACAGAATTACTGTCCATAAAAGTAACTTTTTCCAGTCTGTCTTCTGAACTGGAGCAAGAGGAATAGCTAGATAACTAACCCATATGTGTTTTTTTTCCCTTCTTGTCTTTCTAGATCTACATATGTATTGGTATTTTTAGGCTGCCTTCCTTCTCTCTTTGATGTTATGTTGTGGTTCTCCTCTTAGAATAATGCCTGCCTGATCAGCGTTTCATGCATGGAAGCCAGCTGCATAAGCCTCTGCATTTAGATTTAGTGAATCTTTAGCCTTCTACACTGTTTCTAGATGGACTTCTTAAGTGACCCACATTAAATTTCCCTTCTTACTTCAATACTAGTTTCCAAAGTGGCCATACTCTTCTGTAGTCACATATGCCACATTAGACCCTTGTTGGCCAATACTGCATAATCTTAACAATGACATATCCCATTCCTCTTTCTCCCCTTCTGCAGAACTGATGCAAACGGAGATGCACCACGTTCGCACCTTGAAGATCATGAGCGATGTCTACAGCCGAGGGATGGTGCAGGAGCTGCAGTACGAGCAGCCGATGGTGGAAAAAGTCTTTCCTTGCCTGGATGACCTGTTGAACATCCACAGCCAGTTCTTCCAGCGGATTCTGGAGAGGAAAAGGGAGTCGCTGGCAGAGAGGAGTGAAAAGAACTTTGTGATCAAGAGGATAGGGGATATCCTGGTCAGCCAGGTAAGGAACAGAAAGAGGCCCTCCTGGTTGAGCTCACGATCGGGCTCAGAAAACAGTCTTGTAGGCATCTAATTGGGGTTGCAGAGGCTGGAAGAAATCAAAAGAGGCTGTTCACTAGGGAGAAAGATGCAGAAATATGCAACCTCTGCTAACCAAATGCACTCTCCTTGCTGGCAGGATTCCCCCACTGATAACATTCCCATGAAAAGACCCTTGGATTTCCATTTTTGCCGTTAGGGTTTGACAGTTCGATTGACCCGTGCAATTATAATGAATAACATCTTTAAAACACTTCAGACAGCCCCACTGAACACACGGGACCTTCTGAATTAATGTCCATTTAAAGTCCTATTGGTTTGGGTTTATTCTAACTGGGATGAGCATTTGGATTCATCAGCCCATTGTATTTGCAAAGGTGTAGATTCTGTCGCTCCTTCCAGACTCTGGAACTCCTTCCCACGGGAGGCCCAGTGGATTCATCAGCCCATTGTATTTGCAAAGATGTAGATTCTCTGTCGCTCCTTCCAGCCTCTGGAATTCCTTCCCATGGGAGACCCAGCTTGGCCCTCTCTTTGCTCTCCTTCTGCAAGCAGATGAAAAACTTTCTCTTCCCGCAGGCTTTCCTTTAAATGACTGGTTTGACCAAAGGGCATTTTAAAGGCAGGATTTTATTCTGTGTTTTACAGGCTTTCCTTTAAATGCCTGGTTTGACCGAGGGGCATTTTAAAGGCAGCATTCTGTGTTTTATGAGTTTTTAATATGATTCTTATTATGAGTTTTAATATGATACTTGTTTAATGCCTTCTTAATAGTGTAGGCTTTCCTTTAAATGCCTGGTTTGACCGAGGGGCATTTTAAAGGCAGCATTCTGTGTTTTATGAGTTTTTAATATGATTCTTATTATGAGTTTTAATATGATACTTGTTTAATGCCTTCTTAATAGTGTAATAATTTATTATTTGGCTTTTTACTTTCTTTCTTTTAATACTGTAAGCCGCCTTGGATCCTTTAGGACAGTGGTTCTTAACCTTTGTTACTCGGATGCTTTTGAACTGCAAAATATGATTCTTATTATGAGTTTTAATATGCTACTTGTTTAATGCCTTTTTAATAGTGCAATAATTTATTATTTGGCTTTTTACTTTCTTTCTTTTAATACTGTAAGCCGCCTTGGATCCTTTAGGAGAAAAGTGACATATAAATATTTTAAATAAACAGTTTCCGCTATCATGGCATCGGTGTCCTGCTTGCTCTACGTCCCTTGAATGAGGCTACCGTGTGCAGACAAGATATCTCAGCAGAATCAGTGGCTGCTAGACAGTTGTCTTTCCCACTTCTCCGACCACAGGATAGCTCTGATTTTATATCTTACATTTTGCAGTTTTCTGGAGAGAATGCCGAGAGGATGAAGAAAACTTATGGCAAATTCTGCGGGCACCACAATGAGGCCGTCAATTATTTTAAAGACTTGCACTCGAAGGAGAAGCGGTTCCAAGCGTTCATCAAGGTAAACCGATGGCCATGTGTTGTTCTGCGCATACGCATCAGCATAGAGGAAGGGCACCGCTGAGAGGGTTAGAAGCGTCCATCGTGAAGGTGGCTGCGTATTGCAAGTGTTCTCATTCCCAAGATCTGGGTATTGCGCCAGAATCCGAGTGTATTAATAGTGGGGAAAGCGATGTGCATTGGTAAATATTGACCAAACTTGACATCAGAGGTAGCTGGGGGATATTTTCACGCCTGACTTTTCACTGGGGACTTTTATCATTCTCCTCATCTTTGAGCTGCAGACCTGGAAAGGGACCCTATGGGATCATCGCATCCAGCCCCTGTCAAGGAGGCCCAGTGGGGGAATCGAACCCCCAACCTCTGGCTCTGTAGCCAGAGGCCTAAACCACTGGGCTATCCAGCAGTTCCTTTCACTGCCGTCTTCTTCTTCTTCTAGAAAAAGATGAGCAGTTCCGTGGTGAGACGCTTGGGCATTCCGGAGTGCATCTTGCTTGTGACCCAGAGGATCACCAAATATCCAGTGTTGCTACAGAGAATATTACAGCATACAAAAGGTAGGTCTTTCTAACATCTTGGGGTTGCTGACTGGTTTCCCCCCCCCTCTTTTGTTGTTGTTGTTGTTGTTGTTGTTGTTGTTGGCAAGAAGGATATTTTTTTCCATTTTTATAGGTATGGCCTTATGGGAGGTAAGGGTAAGATATCTGGGACATGGAAGTGGTTGAGAAATCGTTGTTTTCCAGCCTGGCGGTATGAGGCTCAAAAACAGTCTTCATGGTTTAAGAAGGCATCTTTTCCAAAACCTTCCCTCAAAGACTTTGCTATTCCTTTGTGCTCGTTTGCTGAACGGCTTAGATGTGATCTCGCCGCAACTTTGAACAATTCCTTTTTCGGGTTGATAGTGGGGCCTTCTCAGAATTTTAGACTCAACGCCACCAACATCTGGAAGTTCGGTCATTCAGGCCAAAGGCCTTTCTGTGCAAAACTCCCATTTTTCTGACATGCTTTCCCGCTCCCCGCCCCCAAATTGTTCTTCTCAACACTGCGCTTTCCAAAGTTGAATATTCCCAGAATGTTTGGCTTGATCATGGAAGTTTGCATGGATGGATAGATGGACCGGGGTGGGATGATTTTCCTATGATGGGCCATTGATCCACGTGAACCACAGGGGAATGCTTCAGCCAAAGACTGGTAGAGCCAAAGCAGATGAGATATGCTGCATTATGTAGCCTTTCCATACAGCCATGGATGCATGAATAACTTTGGTGCTGTTCCCTGTGAATTATTAGGAAGCAGTAGGCCTGATTCTTTCCCATTAACATAACCACCTTTTACTGTATCTCCGTCACAGCCCTGCTGTTCACCTTCACTGTTCTAAATGAATTCTTGCCTTGGGTGAGACCTAAAAGTTAGGGTCAGACGTGAGTCCTGAGGGTGGTTAAGCTGGTGCCTGCAGGATCGTCAGCGCAAGAGAATTAGACTGGAAGGGAGGAAGGGAGTTTTCCAAACTGGAGAAGATAACAACTGAAAGAGGAATGTTTTCTTTTTTTCCGTTCAAGACAATGATGAAGAACACGAAGACCTGGTGCTGTCGCTCAACCTGGTGAAGGAAGTCATCACCGCCGTGAACAGCAAAGTCAGCAACTACGAGAAGAAGATGCGCCTCAACGAAATCTACACCCGGACGGACAGCAAGTCCATCATGAGAATGAAGAGCGGGCAGATGTTCGCCAGGGAGGACTTGAGGCGCAGGAAGTTTGTCCGGGACGGGCCCGTCTCCCTGAGAAATGCCGCGGGCAGGTTGAAAGGTAAGAGAAAGACGCTCACTCCGTTTCCCTTTCCCTGCGTCGTCTTAGGTCAAGGGAACTTTTCTTGCTCGCTTCTCAAGGTGGGTTCTGCTCTTTTCCTTTCCAATGCCTTTGAAGGACAACCGGATGTTTGTGTTGGTCTGTTCAGGGTTTTTTTTTTAAGAGCTAAGAAGCGCCACAGAGTCAATATTCTGTTCACTTGGTGACCGGACACTCTTCTTAGGGCTCCCCACGAAAGGGAAAAGGCAGGCTCCCACCTAGTATTCTGGAGCCTTCAATACTGGAGGTGAACGATAGCCATCCGGATCAGCAGCCACTGCTGGTCCTACTATCTAATCCTCCTTGAAGCCCATCAGTTGCCTCTTGTTGGCAGTGAATCCCACCCATTTACGAAGAGTTTTGTGAAGACATCGTTTTTATCTGTCCTTAGTCTTGAACTCTCACCATTGAGCTTCGCAAGTTCTGCTATTACGACAGAGATGGGAAAACTCTCCCTGTCTCCTTTCCCACATTATGCATCATCCTATATGCCTGTGTCATGCCTCGTCTTTTTCACTTTTACCCCTAAGCTAAATAGGCCCAAAAGTTTTCACTTTTTGTCCTGGGAACATGTTCCTATCCATTGACCATTTCCTCTCCCGTTTTGCTCCCTCGTGGCTTACAGTGATTTAAAACTGCAGAAACCCCAGTAGGATAAACCAAAGGACATAAAACAAGAGCATCAAGCAATAAAATGAAATAAACATTAGAGAGAGGATTTTTTATGTGCTTGTTATGTATGTATGTGTGTGCTTAGTCTTCAAAAAAAAAAAAAACTTGTTTAGGAGAAATGCAGCATATATAAATAAACAAATGACCGACCGACTGAATGTTACTTTTAGAGGCCTTTTTTTGCATCAGTTGGGGAAAACACAAATTAAAAATGCACTTCCTGTCTTGGTCTGGCGGTGTGATGGTGAGTTCTCAACAAGCTCAGTTTTTCTCAAGTGAGATCAAGACAGTGGCAAGATTTCTTCATACCCCTTCCGGGCAGGTCGTTAGAAAAACCTTGCTTTCGAATGAAAACCTACCTCGTTGTGGAAACCTGCCCACCTGTCAAAAACAAGCATGTTAGGCAGAGAGTTGTTATGTAGGTTTGCCTTTTTCTTTGGCTATTAGCTTTCCACTCTCTAGGTGGGTTTTCCCCCCCTTGGTCTGTGCTGATAGGATTTCAGTAGACTTTGAGCCAGTAAAAGGAACTACAGGGGGGTGATCTATTAGGAAGAATTATGGTCCTCAAAGTTATCTCATACCTTGAAAAAGCCGCTTCAGGAGACAGAAAGCATCCAGCAGTTTTCAAGGATGGAAGTATTGATTGTGAATGAATGGCATTTATATTCTCTGATGGTCTTCTTAGCTGTTGTTTCCCTATCTTCTGTGACTCCCAGAGGTCTTATCAGTCAGAGAGGTGGAGCAGCAGCCACTGCCTCTGTGAAATATCCTTGCTGGTGTATTTTAGATCTAAGACATCAGGGATTATTCTGAGTGTTTTAGGAGCTTTTTCCCTTCCAAAGAAAAACCTGGAAAAGTTTCGGCTGTCTTAGCAGGGGGGATTCTGGAAGGAATAGTCCATAAGAAGCGTGTTTTTCTAAGTTCTGCTCCAGAACTTATTTGCTTCGAATGCCATTTCAGAGAAGACACTAACTTTTTCGAAGTCCAATTGCTTAAGATGAGGTTCATGGCAAAGAAATAGGGGGCAGTGGGAATATCCCTCATATAGAACATGGTTATCATCTGGAACTTTCTGCTACCAGTTGTGATCATGATCCTCTTTTTAGAAAAGTTTTTAAAAGGGGTTGAGCAAATGAATGGAGGAGGAGGCCCACTGAGAGATCTTGGGTTTAATGTCTATTTTTTTTTGTATATATTATTTATTTATTCTTGGATGCTCCTGAGGATATGTTAGAAAACTTTGTAGAGAAGGCCATGGCCTAATATGGTCCTCCCAAGGACATGGTAGAAGATCCTGTCAGGCCAGGAGGCTGTGGGAGGCCCTCCATCAATGCAAGCCCAAGTTTAAAATGAAAAAGAGAAACTTACTCAGCTCCACGGAAATGAAGATCAGCACCAAACCGTAACTTCCTCTCCCTTGAGACTTCCTGCAAAAATTGGCCACCCTTCCATCTTCAAGAGCCTTTTGTTCCTTCCTTGTATTTTAACAAAGCTCTCCCCCCCCGGGTGCAAATTTCTCCAGCTTCCCTCCTGAATCTCTGGGAGCAGCTTCACGTCCCTCCACCCTCACCATGGCGGAAGGAAACTTGGCCAAAATGGATGACGGGCATGCTATTGCAGCGGCTTCCGAAACACAGAAACTTTTTTCTGAATTTGGACCTCGGGTGTGGCTTTCAGGGTCTTTGTTTGTGATATGAAACAGTTTCCTAGAAATGAACCTTGGAGATAAACAGTACATCGGCCAGTTTGATACAGATATTTGATTTTTTTTTTAAACAAACACAGCGTGTTCTTTTCTTTCCTTTTCCAGAGGTCCAGGCAGTTCTTCTCTCAGATGTTCTGATATTCCTTCAAGAAAAAGACCAGAAATACGTGTTTGCATCTCTGGTAAGGTCTTCTGTCTTTTCCATCCAGTCCCACAAATCTTTCGGCAAACTTGAAAATAGACAAACCCAGAAGAAGCTTCTGGGCTCTCTCACAGTCATTTTTTAAAAAATGGAATTTTATTGATTTTTTACCTTCTCTCCCTCTTCTGTTTTCAGAAGTGTAAAGTGTAAGGATTTAGATTTAGCTCTCCAGCCTGCCAAGTGGCCAACCCCCTACATATAGGCTGTATTCAGTTGTTAGTCCCAGCTAGAGTAGACCTATTAAATCAGCAGTTCTTTCACTAAGTGTCAAATCATGAAAAGATAAATCATCAGTGGAAGCAGTGAAAGAAATTTAAAACAAACATACAGAGGTTTTGTTTTAAAATGTAATTTTAGGCCGCCTAGAGTGGTCAAAATGACTAGATAGGCGGGGTATAAATACAATAAATAAATAAATAAATAAATAATTTTTTGCACAACTATTGGGCAGTTCAAACATATACGTAGTGTGCAGCATGGTGAGATGTTCCCTCAGCTCCGTATAAGTAAAGAAAAATAAGATTTGGGACGTCAGTGAATATGTATTCCATTTACTGACATGGTTAGGCCAGCTGACTGTTGGTTTTGAG